TCGTGCTGCAGCACCACGTGGAATATTTAGAGTGCTCCTGCTGCTCACAAAGGAGCTCCTGTGGGGAGAATTCTCAACCATTTTGCTCTGTCTCACTCTGAAGAAGAAGAGCTAACAGAGGCGAGTGTCTGGTTTTGTTTTGCACTTTCGGTGTCTCATCTGATGAAATAAAGTTCTGTCCCAGGCCCAGTGGATGGGAACAAGTTCAGCCAACCTCCCGACCCTCACTGGAAAACATCAAATACACTATTGCGTCTTCATGTGAGCAACCTCCTCCAACAGCGGGCTGCTGAATTTACTATTTCCACAGCAATGCCAGCCAACCTACCCTTCAGTGTGCAGTACACGTGGGCCAGTCAGTACACAAATCGTAGCTCCTATGGCTTCTGCAAGTTCACTCATTGGCCACTGAGTTCTTTGCCCCCGTTGTCCAAAAGAAATAAGATGGGAGCCATTCTGCGTCTTTTTTAAAAGTTACATTTTAAAGTAAGACAGAAGTATAAAGGAATAGGGAAAGTTTTAAGTCAATAACATGTTTACTTAGCATAACATAGCCTAAATAGTATCTTTTTAAACACAATCAAGACAAGAATTATTGAGATTGTTATTTACTTCTTTATTTTGTCTTTGAAATCCAGGGCATGTTTCCTACCACTAGCTCACCTTAATTTTGTTTTTGTTTGTTTGTTTTGTTTTTTTGAGACAGGGTCTCACTATATAGTTGAGACTGACCTGGAACTCACTGTGTAGCCCAGGCTGGTCTCGAACTCACAGTGATCCTCCTGCCTCAGCCTCCTGAGTGCTGGGATTATAGCTGTGTGCCACCACAACTGGCTGTAGCACACCTTAATTTGTACTGGACACATTTCAAGTACAGAAGAGCCAACTGGACAGTGCAGTCCATACTGTTATTGTTGTGTCCTCTGATGCGCTAAAACCTTATTAAAAGTTGGGCATTTTCTATGGAAATATTACCATATATAGATTACTTATTATGTTATAAATTGAAAAAAATAAATACTCTAATGAATACATAAAACAATTAGAAAGACAAAATATATTAACACTGTAAAATATATTAAAACTTTACAAATATGTCTTTCTTAGGCAGAAGGAAACGAAAGGAAATGGCATCAGGCTGCAGGCAGGGCAGGTACTTTATCAGGATAGGAGCACGGATAAATTCTTATTCTACAGTCAAACATGAAGGAGTTATTTGAAAAAAATCTTTGTAAATAAAAAGGCATAGGCCGTTGAGCACACATACAGAAATCCCCCCACCGTGGAGACACTGGTTAAGCAGCAATCTCAGAAGCCGGCATTTCAGGTGGAGAATGGTGAGAGGGACCACTGGCATAGGCGCTGGGAAGGAGGGAAGCACAAGGAAGACCGTCAGCATCAGACACAGATTCAAGGACTTCCAGAAGAAGGGATGTGCAGTTGGGGTCTAGGAGTTGCTTCCATGGGAAGACGATGAGACCGTGTGAGGCAGAGGGTATGGAATTTTGTTTCCCTCGAGCAGCAGGGGAAAAGCACATGTGATTTGGGGATGTACGGTGAGGCTTTAATCCAGTCCGGAGAATGGAACATGTTTCCCTGAAGAGTGTTCAGCATTTGCTTTGGGGCTGAGTTAACTAATATTAGTGTGTGAAACTCTAAGAGTTTTATTTCCAGAGGGCTAGAAATGAAAGTAAGTGTATCAGTCAGTTTTCAGTTGGGAAAACAGAACTCACTCCTAGTACGTAAAACAGGGAACCTGGGAAATTGGCTAATTCCAGGAGTGTTCGCCCAGGTGTTTGAATAATTGCTGAGATGCCAGGCAGGGGCACTGCAGCACCCAGACAGCAGCAGCAGCAGGAAGATGGGCCTCACAAAACCACAACCCTGGGGACGTGGGGCCCAGAGGCAGAAGCTCAGGACAGAAGGACTTCTTTGCGGGCTGGGACGGTCAGAGGAGCCGTCGGGTGAAGGATGGAGCCGGGTCAGCAGTCACCGCCAGGAGAGGAAGCAGAATGGGAAGGCAACGACGCTGTACTTCCTCCAGTCAACACTAGAAAGCGAAAGCTTCTTAGAGCAGGTGGAGAGCCAGCCTGCAGTGTCCTGTCCCACGCATGCAGAAGGACAGGGCAAGAACAGAGCGTGACCAAAAGCAGACAGGGTGTCCCACCCGCACTCCGTCCCACCCAACCCCCTCACCCACGCCCCCTGCCCTCCTGCCCTGCCTGGTGCTAGAACTCACGCTCCGGCCTCAGCCTTCCCTCCTTCACGCTCTAGAACTCCTCCTCCTCCCACTTCCTGGGCGCTCCAGAAATGCTCCAACAGCACTACCGTTCGTGCTCTACCTGAAACTGTTTGTAAGCCACTTCCCCGTTACCCACGCACTCATTTCACTGAGGGTCTTTGTAAAGAAATTTCCGAAGGAAGTCGAATTTCCCAAGTCGTCTCCCCCGAGTCACTGAAACAAACACCAGGCTGGGTTTTGTTCCCGGGCTCCAGAGGACGCCCAGCGGCGGATACCAGCCTTTCCGCTGCACAGGCAGTGTACTCCCAACTGGGCGGCGCTGTCCCCTCCTCTCTGCGCTGTTCCTCGCCCGGCTGCGGTGACATCACACGGTCTCCACTGCCGCCTCCCCACGGGCCCTTGGCCTCCCTTGGATAAAGGAGAAGCATTCATCACGTCCAGGACCTCCGCACGCTGGAGAGCTTCACGTCTACGTCCTCATTCTCACCTCCCTATCCACTCCCTGCATAACCTCTTCCAGGTTCCCGTCATTGACCCTAAGATTATACCTCTGTCTGTGTCTCTCTCCTAAAGTCCTGATACAGCAACCTCCTTGGATGTGTCAAACACACTGCCCGCTCATCACGTCCATACTGAGTCTGCTTCCGAGGCACAAACAGTCACGGTACAAGCACCTGCTCGAGTCCAGAGGCCGGTCAGCGTCGGAGAGCACGGGCGACCCTTGCAGTGATTACGGAGAATCCACTCCCTCCGGGCACCTTTGAGAGAACCAAGATGCAGAGGCTTGAGCTTATTCGTCTGGAATTGTTTTGCTCAAGCTCACTGCCTCTTCAGCCCTCCACTTCGGCCGATGGCAAGGTTACCCTGCTAGTCACTTGGACTGGAACCTACGAGTCGCCCTTGACTGTTTCTTTCTCTTACATTCTACATGCACCCGTCATAAACCGTGCTGGTTCTCTTTTCGGAGCACGCCCAGGGCTGTGTGATGGCACATCTGCCTTCAGGGCGACCACGTGGGCCTGGACAAACTTTTGCTCACCACGGCTGTTGCGATAGCATCTGAATAGGTCTTCCTGTTTCTACCCTTGCCCCCTGCCGTTTACCCCACTAGTTAGAGGATGTTTGTGGACCCAAACAGGTTCATATCACTCCTCTCCTGATTGCACCTGCCACCTACCTGATTGCACCCAGAGCAAAAAGCAAAGTCCTCATGTTGTCCTTAAGGTCCTGTGAGCTCTCCAATAAATTTTAATTTTTCAGCCCTTGACCTTTTGCTCCATCCGCACTACCTAATAAATATTTGTGAAACAAACCCACCTCATTCTCTAAGGAGCCCCTGTCTCCTGGAGAAAACAGATGTATGTAAATGATTATAAGTAGAAAGCAGTGGTGAAAGCTCTCCTCCACCTCCTGTCCTAAACCCTCATGGGTGAAACACCCTGGGGTGTCAAGGGTGGAGGAATTAGCTGTGTGCAGGGGAAGGCAGCGCATTTCTAGCACAGAGAATATCACATACAGAAATCACGATCTGAAATAATGAACCGGTAACGTATTTAGGAGGTGGCGTGCCAGGAAGAAAGCTCTTTCTAAAGAATCAAAAAATAAGGACTGAGCTGAGAAGAATTTCGTGTCGGAGGAAAAGAAAGAAAGTTCCCAATTTATGTAGGAGTCAGAGAATGAGAAGTTTTGTTTGTCGGTTCCCTCGTTCACAGCTTTAAACCTTCTGGCGGAACCATTTATTAACTGTAATGTTCTGAGGCAACCTCCTCAGCAGGGTCAAAGTGGTACTTAGAAGGATTTGAATTTTCCCAAGTTAAAGATGAAAACAATACCTAGAGGCACATTTAATTTGACAAGGTGAAGGAGTGGGCGTGATCGTGTATCAAGTTTAGTTTGGACAGCATCGTCTCCGATAACACTGTTCTTTCTGATCCACTGCGTTTAGACTACGAACACAAGGTCTGATCTCCCTGTCTGACTAAACACCGCTCCGCTCCAGCAGGTTTCATGTTAACAGCAGTCACGTTAACACCCAGTAAATCCACAAGGTGTTAGCAGCACATGATTTTGTATAAAAGGTGTACTGAGACTCCGCTCAGTCTACAGCTTCCCTTCCCGGTGCAAGACAGCCAACCACAGGTGAGTCTTGATGTTCTGAAGCTACTTTTGAAATTACAGAGTTTCCAGGACCTGCAGAACAAAGTAGACCTTGCTGCCAGCGCTGCCTGGGGAATTTATATTTGTTAGCTGAACTTCTTGAGTATGGTTTATTTACTGTAACAACTGTTAGCAAGCAAGCGACATTATGGACAAATTTCCTGGCTTCTCAAATAATCTTATATTCCACAAATTGTGGATAAAAGCACAAAACATTTACTGAGTGGTAAAAGTGAAGAAATGATTTTTGTTATATGCAATTTTCTTTTGCTTTTATATCAAAACTAGTCATTAAAAATATTAGTGGAAGGGCACATAAAATGATCGTGGTTATTTCCTTCAGAGCAATCACCTTAGTAAAGCAATAATTCTGTAATCTTTTGCTGTTGCTCTGCTGAAATCACTGTATTGCCGTTTGACAAACGAAAAATGAAGGAAGAGGAGGAAGAGGTATATTGTCCCAAGAAACACAAAATAAAGAAGGGACAGACACTCTGAAGACGTATAAGGATGACTTTGGGTTGGGTCGCCTTGCATCATAGCGGTAAGTCTCTGAGTCCTGATTTCTGACAAGCCTTATTTGTTTGCTTTTCAGACCAGGATGAAGACCGCCCAGTTCTGTGTCCTTTTCTGTTGCTGGAGAGCAATGTGCAGCGTGGGCTGCGGGCTGACCAACATCACCATCGCGGTGGAGAGGGAAGAGTGCCGCTTCTGTGTCAGCGTCAACACCACCTGGTGTGCGGGCTACTGCTATTCCCGGGTAGGTCCCCGCAGGAGCTTCCTCTCGGGCAGGGCGATGCTCAGAGGTGCGAAGAGAGCATCAGCCCGCTGCGTGTGCCCCATGCTGCAGCCCGAGCCCCTCTGTCAGTAGCGCCGTGTTGTGGCTGGATGAATGGCCGTGGTGTCAGTTTGGGGCTTGGATTCAATTTCAGGTAAACCTGGGAGAACCGTAGAACGGATCTGATAATGAGTTAACCTAACAGCCGTACATTTCCAAAACTAAATGTTTTTTCCATTTGAAAGTACTAGAATGAATTTTTGGGGGCCTGGGTTAAAAGATTTCATCTTTTAAAACTATGCATCTTTTGAATCTAAGAGCCATGAGAGGTTCACAGCATGTAAGAGAGGAGAATGTCTAAGGGCAGAGGAACATTTAGCATCTTTCCAGAGCCTTCTACATGTGTTGAGTGCTGGTAACTTCACAGTGTAACGTTTTTGTTAAAAACATAGCAAGACAATTTATCTTGCAATTTTTTTCTAAGAAATTAAACTACAGTGTTTACGGTTCTAGCTGTTATTTATACAGCTCACAATGGAGTACTGAAGGTCAACCAAAAATTCTAAGTCATATTTCCCTTTTCATCATTTTTGTATGTGCGAACCTGTACATTTTCAGAAATAACCAGTATTTTGATACAAGCATCGGGATTAGGAAAGAAATGACTTACATTTTTCTGTAAGATTTCCCAAGGAGTAAGCAGTGTGGCATAGCCCATAGGCCACGTAAGGAGCTTTAATGGGGACAGAGATGTGATAGCCCCAGGTTCTGTCCCTGCCTCTCTCTGACCAAGCTGAGCTGAGCCTCAGTGATCTGTGGCCTGATTCTCACCTCCCTCCTCCTCTCAGGATCTGGTGTACAAGGACCCGGCGAGGCCCAACCTCCAGAAAGCATGTACCTTCAAGGAGCTGGTGTATGAGACTGTGAGAGTGCCCGGCTGTGCTCACCACGTGGACTCCCTGTACACCTACCCTGTGGCCACCGAGTGTCACTGTGGCAAGTGTGACAGTGACAGCACCGACTGCACTGTGCGAGGCCTGGGGCCCAGCTACTGCTCCTTCCACGAGGTGGAGTAAAGGACAATGGATGCATCTCATTCCACCTGCCCTGGTCTGCAGGACCCAGATACCCAGAAGTCTGTGTGTGAGCACCGTGCCCAGGTGCTGACCTCGTGAGAGGCGACATCATACCCCAGTGATCCCCGCTGTGGGGAAGGGGCTGCAGGAACTGAGGGTGCTGGGGAGGGCTCATCACCCTTCAGCCCTGTGTCCCTTGCTCTTGGTCCATAAGTTTTATTCAGTCTTAGTTCGCAGATTTGTGGGTTCTTTTCTCATCGGTAATCTTAGGCATCCTCTCAGGCAATCCTTTCCTTTTAAAGAGAGGGATGCATAACTCCAGTAGAGAGGGAATAATAACAGAGGTTAAGGAAAGAACTAAAGGCATTGCTATCTTCTGCTAGATTTTGGAGCAAGGCCATCTTCTTCAGCTCCTGCCTCTGTGCCTGGAACTAGGCAAGAAGCCCAACAATGCTTCCTTAGGGAAACCAAGATCAGAAAAGTATAGGGTAGGGGCAGGCTGAATGAGGCTGTGTGAGGCTGGCTGAGGACCTGCCCCTGCAATACCAGCTGTATAGGTCATTGCCTCTGTTCTCCCCACACTGCTCTCTGGTACACTCAGTCCTGAGATAAGAGGGTCTCTGAATTTTATGATACAGATGGGAACAAAAGAGCTCAGGATTCCCAAGCTACTCCAATCAGGCCCTTTAGCTAAGGGCAAATGCAAGAAAGGTTCATTTGGGGCTGTGGAAATTAGCTCACGTTATTCATTACTTTAAAAATGGAGCAGTTGCTGCTAAGCTCCCCTCACTTGCATAGGGGAGGGAAATTTCAGCAACTTCACTTATTCACCTCTTCCACACGTACCTTGTATGAAGAAATGGCTCTATTAGAAAGACTTAGCTGAGGTAACAGGGACCACAGTTTTCTAGGGTCCTCTCTGTGTCAGTCTGGTCTTTGGTCTAATTGTGTTCTCCAAAGTCTATGATTTCTTTTGACAGTGCATATATTGAAATTATTTCAAAAGTTGATTTCTTTTAAAGATGTTAACTCTTAGTGATGTACTTGTTCCATGCTTATTATATGTAATTTATTGAAATCTTATTTTTTTAATAAAGATGCTAGCAACGAGAGTCATAGATTGGGATTGTTTAATACACAAATGGATAATTTACTGTGTGTATGTTTACAGCATTAGCAGAAAAGTATTTTAAATATAATTTCTAGTACATCTGCAGAAATGACCTGTCTTCAACTTTGGAAACATCAAACATAATTTTATTTTGCATATAATTTTGCACATAATTTTGCACATAATTTTATTCCTAAAAGTATTTGTCATTTTAATTTCCTGACATTTTGAAATATTGGAGGGGGGTGCCGTGAGGAAGAAGAGCTTGCGGAGACTCAGTCACACTGTGAGCAGAGACACTGTAGTTCATTTCTTGAATTTTTGAGGCAGAACAATTAAAGCTTGGTGATGTGAAGCGGTGCACGCACATTCAGTGACTGAGACAGAGAATCTGGTCTGCTCACTGAGCTGTGTGCCTACTCTTTCCTGGCTGTGCAGCTAGACTACATTTCTCCTGCTTTCTTGCTATCGAGTTTATCTATCTCCACCCAACAGAACAGAGTGGAAGTGCTGTAAGGTGGTTTCACCCCTGGCCAGAAAATCCCCCATCAGTGACCGTCCTCTGCCTCCCCTCAGCAGCAGGACATCAACACTCAGGGGACCTGGACAGCTCCAAGTTCTCCCTGCAGAACCTCTGTCAGCCCTGAATGTCTGCCTGGGGCAGTGGCCACACATGGCAGTCCTGCATGGACTTTGTACTCCAACAAAGTCATTTCTAGAAGGTTAATGTCATTTGTTGGTTTGTTCAGGAAATATAAATTACAACATTTTAACTAACACATGTATTGGTATTGGAAGCGAGTGCAGTGTTAACCAAAAGCTAACAAGAGTGCCATTGACTTAGTGTTTGTGCAACAGAAGAGAAGCAAGAACTGTGAGAGTAAACTCGACCTGTGAGAAGGTGGGGGCCAAGCACATCCCTACTGGACCTGTAGCTCTAAAGCAGAGTAGCAAAGTTTGCCCCAAAGGTCAAATCTGGCCCATCACTTTTAAATAAAACTGGTAGGAACAACCAGCAAGCCCACTTGTTCCTGTATTTCTATAGCTGCGTTTACACTCCAGCAGAAGTCAGTAGTTATGATAAAGACTGTGTGGGCCACAGTGTAAATAAAATACTTAAAATCCAAATATTTACAGAAAAAAATGGCCAGGCCCTGATATAGGGAAAGGGTTTATGGAATTTGAATATTAATCGAGTTGGCTCTTACTTTCTAAATATGAAAGAGAGGGACTGTTTGCAATCCTAGCTCTGAACAACCCCAAGGAGGACAACTCTCAATTCCACTTCCAGTGTGGTTGCAGAGGATAATGGACAAGAAAAGAATGTTCCTTTCAGAGAGAAGACTCAACATTTAATTAAGAAATTCCCTTTCCTGGTGAGGCAGAATGATTCCACACAGGTTGTCCAGTAGAGTTTCAGTATTGCTTTATCCAGTGAGCTATTATTTCCCATGCTTCTTTTTTACTGAATGGAAGTGTTACTGTGAACAGTGGCATTGTAAAAACGCATCCCTCCTTCAGAAAGCATGTCTTCAGTTCACAGGTGCTGGTCCACGTGGAGTTACATCTGGGTGTTGTGGAAAAAACTGCACCAGCTGGAGTTCCAGGGTCTGGAATTGAACTCAGGAAGGGAAAGAGGTGAAACTGACATTTGTTGGGTGCTTGGGTTGTGGCAGAAATTGTTGTGAGTTCTCCAAAACGCTTATCAATTTTTCCTGAGGATGGAGCTAATTTACATTTCCCAGCTTCACTTGTAGAAAAGTTTGATTATGTCACTGAGATCCGTGAATTGAAGGTTGTCAGAAACTATGTGTGCGACTTCTAGATTTGGTTCATACGGCTACAAGGGAGTCACACTTAGACCTGTCTTTTGTCAAGTCCTTGAGTCAGTGGAGATTCGTCTGTTATAGTAATAGTGCTACCTTAACCAATACAGGGGTGTGCAGTGCTCACAGAACCTAATTACGTTTCTTCATACCGACTCACACGGACCCAGTACACAGTTAATTTCCCAGTGCTGTTCACACATGTGCCCTACATCACAAGCTTCTGGACAAAAGGGGAAATAGATCTGATAGAGTCATTAATTAATAATTTAATTTGAGCTTCGATGAGTGTTTATGTACATGTGCCTGAGTGTGAGTGTGAGCAGACACGCACATGCGTCTGTAAGAAAGGAACAGAGAGATGGGGCATTCCCGTGACTTCAGAGTCTGTGCTCCATCTGCTGAGGTCTCCCATTTCCCATGGGCTTCATCACAAAAGTATGTGGGCTGGGGAGGCGAGGGTCCTCATAGAGGAAGACCACAATCCAGCCTTTGGCTGGGATTTAAAATGTAACCCTCAGTGCACTCATAAGGTTTTAACAGAGCCAGGAACTCACATCACATCACACTAAGGCAAAATGCAGCTTCTCCCAGTGGGCTTTGCTCCCAGACTTTGCTCCAAAGTCTCCCCCTGTCTGGGTAAACAGGTGATGGGTAGAATTGCTTAGTACAAATGCCAGGAACTAGGGCCAGGGAAAGTACACAAAGTGCAGAGGCTCGGAGAAGTAATTGGACTTATTTAAGCAATAAGTCTTCAAAGGCTCCCTTCTGTAGAGCAGATTTATTTCCATCTTAACATAAATTTTTTAAAAAGTAAAGCAAAAAAATCTTTTTCTCACCAGTATTTCTTTATCAAGCTCCAAAGATATGCTGAAAAGATCAGCAAATAACATCAATAATAACCAGACAATCTGAATCACTTTGAAGCCATGCGCAAAATAATCACACAAATAAATCTGTATGTAGAATATGGCCTGGTTGCCTACACAGTAACACAGGTATTTAAGTAGCAAGCTCAGTCTACTTTCCATCCCAACAAATGCACATTACTATATGCCACCATCATTGGAATGCTGAAAATAAGAAACATCTGAAATAATAGTAGGTATTGCGCTGAGAAAGTCAGTTGTCCTTAACATAAGCAGAAAACCAGACACCCAACCTCCAGCAAAGGAACAAGGGGGTGGGACTGTGTGGTTTTCATCAGGTACAAATCAGCACCCTGGGTAAAATTTATGACAATGCTCCAGTCAGAAGCTTTGGTGGCAGAGGGAAACAAGGCTCCTTACTACAGCCAAGAAGAGCCAAAATGTCATGCTCACTTCAGTACCCCCACGTCACATGGCATTGCTCTCTGCACAACAGCTCCAGTCTCCTTGGTACGGACAAGGCTATTCCTTGTGACCTTTATTCAATACCGGTGAGACTGCAGTTAGGGTTCTATTAGGCAGTGAGGACAGCAGACCCACATTTCGGGGAGCCCAACATGGAGTCTGCTGAGTCACCACCTCCAGGGATCTTACAGAAATATGTGCCAGGCGTCTTCTGGCTGCCTGGGACCTGCCCAGGGTGTGGTCAGCTGTGCCACTGGCTCGAGGGTGCATGGGCCCCGCATGGGCACTGTGAATGCTGCATTGCTTGGACCCTGAGATGGATAGTCTCCTACAGGGTAGAGGCCATATTTGCTTATGCCATGATCTTAGCCCCTATCCAAATGCTTGAAAGTCTGGGCAAACCACCCCTGTGGGTCTCCTGCTCAGGACCGCCTCCTAGCTAGCAGGAGATTTATTTCTTTATCTTCATATCTTTTAAATAAACTTGCCCGTACCCTGCCTCCTCTGTCTGAGGTTTCATTGCTCATCACTGTGGGACAAGTTGCTAGCCTTCTGGTAATGGTAGCGATGTCAAGCAAGGATTTGAACTTCTGTTTGAGTGTCTTACCTCAAATGACAGAAAGGATAGATTTGACTGCCTCAAATGCTGCCATCGCGAGAGACCATAGCTACCCAGCTTCTGGGAACACCACACAGGCCAACTGGGGAGGCAGAGCACAGCCTTGGTCCTTCCAGGGGCCACCCTAGAGCAGAAGGCAGTCTGATACTTTCTTTTCATTTGATTGGTTTGGTTTTGGCTTCGAACAAGGGAAGTTGAATACAGCAGGCAGACTGATTATCATGAACATTTATTTGAAGTCAGACCTAACAGTTGTAATGGCCTTGAAAAGCTCCAAGTTGTTGTTTTGCATTTGAAAAAAGTTGACTCATCCTTTTGAAGATAGGCACATTGATTCAAATTCGGCCCATTTTCTGGATATCGGTTGCAATGTACGGATTTTCTCTGCCACTGTTATTCCACTGCACAAGCAACATTCATGCAGTGTAGTCCTAAAAGAAACTACTTCGTTCTCCCACTGTGCCTTTGAATTTACTCCAGGGCAGCTATTCACTTTTTGCCACTGGATGAAAATTTACCAGACTACATCGGTGGTCACTCGTGGCAATAAAATATGTATCACCTCACAAACACACCAGTAATCAAAATCCCCCAGGCCTGATTGGTAACAAAACTTCAGACCTGAGTTAACACTAAATTTCCCATTCTTGGAGACAGGGAACAACGATCCCTCGCTCTCTCTCCTCATCTGGGATTTCTTTTTTCTGTCCCTGTCAGTGATCTCTCTGGATCAGAATTCAGAGAAAATAGGAAAAGCAAAAAGGATGGCTGCATGCTCTTAACATATGGTAAGTGTTCTGAGCTGACCCTGTGCCAAGGCTGTGTCTGTATCCTTCATGGGCACCTCTGCTGGGTGATCGTACCACAGTTCCGTGGTTCCGCTGTCACAGGGACTGCATCTCTGCATCTCTGCCCCTCCTGCTCCCTCTGCTTTATCCAGGTTTGTGTCAAAAACCTGGGACTGGGATCTGTTGTTAAATAGATTCAGACCCAGAAATCTTGCAACAACAGCCCAATAGAGAGGAGAGTAATCAATTTCCAGAGGTTTTTTTTTTTTTTTTTTTTTT